TTTCAAAATCTTATCATTAATCTTAACTTTAAGAAATGGTTTCTGATTACAATCAATACAACTGGATAAATTACTAACAACTGATGCAGGAAGAGTACCATCGGGAACAGGAGTCTGTACTGGAATCTGGACAGGATCAGTCGTCTCCACGCAGTACAACGTGTTCTCCAACTCTTGATGTGTGTACCCATAATCAGCAGCGCAAGCGTTGCCATCATCATGATCACCAATCCCTTCAACACAATGGGATTGCTTCTTAGCAGAACGACAGTTCTTCGCGATATGTCCGGGTTTGCGACAGTTTCTGCAACGAACTTTGCAGTTTTTCGCAACATGACCACGAACAGTACAACGTGAACAAACAATGTTAAGGTCGGCCTTCTGATGGAACTTAGAGTTTTGAGGTTTTTGAAACTTCCCGGGTTTTTGAACATAGTGTGTTGTGACTGACATTGAACTTTGCAGAGCGTTCTCCTTCGTCTGAGCTTTATCAAACAGGCTGGCAGACGTGTCGTTGGTAGCAGATTCTGATATGAGTTCAGCACGTATCCTATCAGAGGATAGTCCAGCCACAAAACGTGTACGCACCATTAAATCAAACAAATCACCGAACTGACAAACATTAGCAGCTTCCTTCAATCGTGACATAAAAGTACATAAGGATTCACCAGCAATCTGATTTAAAGTCATAAACTTCTGCTGTTGAGCTACAATGTTCGTTTTGGGTGATAACCGATCAACAAGAGTTTTTCTCAGGGTAGCGTAGTCAGTGTCTTTAATTTCAGCTGGAAATGTAAATGCACGCAACTTCTTCAACGCGTCAGGCCCCAGATTGACTGTTAACAGTGTTCTCATGAGTTCTGCTTTTTTAGCAGTTTTCTCGTTTGCGTCATCTGGTAACTTATCTGCGTGTGCGAAAATGAACACAGAAGCGGCGTTTTCAAAGATTTCCAGCCACTCTCTGACACAATCAGTTTCCTTGGATAAGCGTAAGTTCGAAACCAGACTCGTCGCCATTGTTATGAATCGTTGTGACAAGGTAAACGCAAGACTAAAAGCTAAAAGCTAAACCAAAACCAAAACCAAAACCCAGGTAGTCATCCTGAATAGTATATCGGTTAATCATACAATAAATTACTAGAATATATAACATTAGGCCCTGGGTAATCCAAGGGTTGGTTATGCTATTACGTTTAGTGGTTCTTGGAGTTAGAAGTTTGCAAGACAAGTCTATTTTTTCTTGAAATAGCTGCATAAAAGAGTCAAATGTGTCACAACTGTAGTGGAACCTATCTAAATCGTTTTCTATTTCAAGACAGAGCTTCTCTAGGTTAGCATTACTATAGTCGTAGTGTATAGTAATTTTGTCTGGTGAATCAGATAGTGACACAGAGTCGGGGGAAAGCTTAACAAAAGTGAATATAGGGTGGTGATGGGAGATCTTGTCAGATATGACACCAGAGATAAGGGATTGGTCTAATACATTGGTGTGGATATTGTCAATACAAGTCCTGGAACAACCAGGCATATGGTGAGTTGGCACTGATATGGTTGGTATAAAGCCATTGTTAAATATTATTTCTTGGAATTTGTCCTCTGATGAAGATGGGTGGTTTAAAATGTTAACATTGAAATCCCCAAGGATATATACCTTCTTGCCATTCAGTTTAGAGAGAATACGTTCATATGTTTCGTTAAACAGTTCAAGTGATGCGTTTGGAGGACGGTAGATAACCCCTACAACGGTTGGGTCTTTCATACTGGTGATAGATACAAACAGTGATTCTATGTGCTCATTACAGAGAGATAATCCAGTAATCTTATTAAAGTTTAGAGAGTTTTTCAGGTAAAGACAAACTCCTGATCCTTTAGCCTTGAACTGGTTTTTGTCTTGACAGAAATAACGGGATTGGTAACACGAGGAGTATCCACTGAGCTGATATAGTGTTCCATTGTCAGCATCAGTGTTTGTTTCTGCAAGACCAATAACAGAAAACTTGTGGTTTATACTAGACTGCTCAACTGCAAAGTTGTCAAAGTTTGTTGCATTCCCATCAATGTTGAAGAATAAAGTGGACATATATTCGACTGAATTTCCAGGCAGGGTGGTGGCATTCAACTCTGTTATGGAGAATGTTTTGCAGTTTTCAAGAATTTTTGAGCTGTTGTAGATAGATTCAATATAATTAACTGGCTCATCATCAATAAGGCCGTTGTTAGCAAAGTGGGGAGCTTGGTAGAAAGGGTTGTATCGAATAATATCGTTGGCTTCAATACAGACTTTGCAGTATATTTCATCTCGAAATTTGACTATGTTGTCATTAGTTTTGCATTTTTTGTGCATTATTTTGTCACACATCTGACAAATTATGAAAGGGTGTCCAGCTCGTACAGGTTTATTGCAGCAGCAGCAAATTTCGCATATCAATTTAACTATCATGACTGAAATATAGATCTACGTGGTCGTGGGGAAAATCTGCCTCTAGCTTTGGCATTAACAACATCACTGAATGATCTCCCGTCAACAGGGCTACCAAATATCTTGTGAGCAAAAGCCCGGGAGAGTTTGAATATACCGTTTGATCCAAGGTGAATTGGGTCATCCGGCTTCTTATATCTACAAAACTGCTGATTCAGCAGACCATCTTCGTCAACAAAGCTATTAAAATCTAATGTACCTATTCTAGAATTGGTATCACAGTATCCAAATAAAAACCTGTTAAACTCCATAGCCCTTTCGTTCAGCAAGGAGGACCTAGTTGGCAGTATAGGTGAAACAATTATTTTAGCGTAAGGGCACAATTCACTTATAGTCTTGAGCTTTTTGTTCAGCTCATTTGCCCAATATTTAACATTCCCCCCATCATTCTTGATGTTGTTTACTCCACAATGAACTATAATGTTTTTATAACCTACACAAAGGGTAGGATCTAGCTTATCTATGGTGAAGCATTCTATTCTTCTTCCAGGCAAGCGGTGTCCAAATGTTCCTTTTCCAGACCCAAATCGGAGGTACCGGGTATTGGAGTCACCAATAATCAGTGTCGCATTGGTGCTACTGCTTATGTATCGGAAGGTGATACTATATCGTAGGTGTCTCTTCTCCGTGCTTTTATCAATTCTGTGGTCCCAGTGAAACTGAGACTGTTTGCTCATAACATAGAGACTGCATCCCTCTACTGTCTCTACAATCTCCCCTTCAAGATCACTTTTTTTTGTGAACTTGACAGAGCATTCTCCTCCTAAGGATACTGTAAAGATGGAACTATCATGGACCAGTGACTGTTCGTTATCAGAGTGCTTAGGAAGGAAGCTGTTCTCGTCGGTGTATCGGTTTATCAGGCACTGGTTAGTCACTGATCCTGGGTGCTGATCTTTTATTTTAGAGGCTAGCTCAGCAAGAACCTCAGGGAGTTCTGTTGATTTGGGCTTTGCAGCTTTAGCTCCAGGGTAGTCGTACGGTTCGCCAAAGCTCAGAACGTCATGGCCATTCTCTGAGTTGCCATCAAAGGCTTCCTTCTGTTGATTAAGGAAAACCAGCAGCTTAGTGTTTAAGTCTGTGTCTATGAAGTCCGGGACATACGACACAATGTGCTTGGACTTGCAATCCTCTGCACTTGCATGCTTCTGCGCATCCAGAAGGAGCTGTTCATTGACTGTCTCAGATGCTGCTGGTGACCCTATGTTAAAAGGTGGCATGGCAAGGTCAGGAGTGGACACATTTGATGATCTACTGTTTTTAAAACAGTTGATGTCTAGTTTTAGTTCAGCGAGCTTTGTGTTGATGGAGTCAAGAGTCCTAAGATGGCTATCATTGTCTTTCAAGTTTTTAATGGACGTCTGAATGGCTTCTAAGGACTTGTGTATGGAGCTTTCGTCTGAGGTAGTATGACCCATTAGAATGCTGGAGGGAGCTGACAAGTAGGAAGGGGACTTAGCATCGTCACATTTCTTGCCACTCACTACAGCACAAACATTTTCAGCAAGCCCAAGCAAGGATAGGAGACCCTCTGCAAGGGTGATTTTGTTAAGAGAAGAACAACCCTTAACCATGGATGGTGTAATGATTGCAAATTTGTTGATATCAATTTTGAGAATGCTACAAATGTTTAGCTTGATTATGTCTATCTCTGAGCGTAGGCTCTGCGAATGGGTCAACAGAAAGTTGTCGAGGGGGGCAGACCCATTTGAGAAGAAACTTAGAAGGCTACTACAATTTTTATGTTCTTCTGATTCGTGGTATTCTGAAAGAATTATTTTTTCAACGTCCTTCAGTACTTCGTCAATATCTCCAATGACGGTAGGAGTGTTGGATGTAGTCTGGTCCGGAACCGTGGTAGAAGAAGTCTGGTCCGGAACAGGTTGAAGAGTCTCACCATTTTCTGGGTGAGTGTCAGTGGGGGTTTCCATCATGGTGAAGAGGCAATGGGGGTACCAGGCAGACCAGGGGGCACCTTCACGTCCAACTAGCACACTCACTGAAAAGAAGGAAGAGCAGAAAGCAGTTTGAAATGTTCTGTTGTGGAAAACAATGAAAGTGTAAACTGGATTAGTCAAAATGATTCAAAAGATTGATTGAAAAATTGAACAGACTGACAGACTACGACACATGGGACAAGAGAGTGGGTGAGTATGAAAAATATGAGGTGGTTGGACTGGCAAGCCCTATCATTTAATCAGAATACATTATATATATAATCCATAAGCCATATATGTCAGCCTGTTCTTGGAGCACAGCCCCAAAAGTTATCAGAAGTGATGTTCAAGTTTTAAGTTTAAAATTCTTTCAACACTATCTACACATTAATCAGGGTTGTCCAATTGTCCAATTGTGAATTGTGGTGTGAATGGAGTTATACATTGCCAAACAGAAACATTATTCACTACAACTACTTAACTTCTTAACAGGTTAAGAGTGCCAGTCTTCTGTTTCAGCACCCCCTGGACCATCATAGTACCCCCGATGCAGTTGACTTTAGCAAGCCATGGACATATTGGACATCCTCAAATTATTTGTTATATAGTAGTGCAGCCTGTGCCTTCAAACCGATTCACCAAACAGCTGTTAACCTGAGGTTGGTCACCAGAAAAAAACTCGTTGTTGATTCTGTCGATCAGTTTTCTCAAGGGTGGTGGTATTGCCTGTGGTGTCTTGGACGACTTAGATCCCAGATAATCGTACCGTTCCCCATATGATAAGCAGGAGCGTTTGTTTTCAATTTTGAAGTCTTTGCTGCTCAAATTGAACAGTTCCACAGGTTTCTGCTCATGATGAAGTGGGTGCACAGGGACAGGTGGTACTGGAGGACGAGGATGCTGTGCAGGAGGTATGATGGGAGGAATGCAAGGACCAGGATTATGCAATGGCTGTATAGAACTTATAGACTGTTTTAGTTCAGCAATGCCTGCAGCTACAGTGGGCTCATTTGCAGAAAGTGCGGTGAGTTGTTCTGAGATGCTCTTCAGAAACTGCTCAGATGAGTCACATTAGTGGCGATTAGATTTGGACCGTTCTGTGGGTATGCTTATACGTTTTATGTATATGAATAAGCTGTGCATGTGGGATTGTGAATGTAAACTATACTATACCAATGTACTTTTTATGCTGATTTCGAACAAGACCTATTACATAACATAAAATCATTTCTTGACGAGTTATGAGCAAAAATGACCATTTTTTCAGACGCGCGCAGGTGACAGGCTTGTAAAAAGATATTTCAACTCTTTATACTATAGGATTCGAGTCAGTTTTGGTTTTAAAGTAATTGTGAAGATAGAATAAAGATTAAAGTACAGATTTGTGCACTTTAACTTTAAATACTTACCATAAAAATCAAAACTAGCATTTACAAATGTGCACAGAACGGTCTTGCTTTAACCAAAGCCCTCTCGCTTGCAGTAGAGCGCAACCGCTTCTACTTGTGAAACAAGCGCATCACGCAGTACGCGTAGACACATGGCTATGTGAAAGAACGGTCCAAATCTAATGGCCAACATAAACTTTTCGAAAAGAAGCACACTGCACAAAAAAACCTATATTTAATTTAACCCCAGCAAAGATGTACAGCAAGCATGAGAGAGAGAAAGAAAGGAAATATGGAGACCATTGTGTACAGATTGAAAAAGGAACCTGCAATGGCCTTGTATTCTCGACCACCGGAGGTATGGGCCCACAGGCTACCATGTTCCTTAAACGAGTAGCAACACTTCTGGCAGCCAGGACAAAAGCCTCATTATGGCAAATCTAAGACGTCGTTTGCGGTTTGAGCTACTTAAGACAGTATTGATTGCAGTGAGAGGACACAGAGGACGGTATTATGAGAAAGCAATACCTGTTGACGAACTGGACCTAAATCTTGCACACACCACCAACGATGAAGACAGGGGTGATGATGTTGATGATGAAGATGATGAAGTTGATAATGAGGCTGAGAATGTAGAGGAAGAGGTTTCAGAAGAGTGAGCTGAAAAGAAGACAAGTTTCTTTTCTAATTTATTGATTATTATATTTATTGCAATAAACATATAATATCCATTACTCCAGGAGTGATGACAGGATATTGAAAAAAATATATATATATTTAATTTAATACTAGATGAGCTGAAAATTGTAACGGTACAAATTGTATTTCTAAAATTGTATTCCTAAGATTTGTATTCCTAAGATTTGTATTCCTAATTCAAGTACCACTCGTACTCATGAATTTCAGAATTCTCAAAGATTATAAAGTATCAATGCACTGTTTATAGGTTTATAGCCTACCAAAACTAATAAAGTTGTAGTTAATTAATAAAGTTGTAGTTAATAATTTATTAATTTTGGTGGTTAGATATTTATATTTTTCCATATAGTGATTTGATACATTGTAGATCAGACATGTGTGATGATATTATGTCATAATTTTTACTTTACTTTACTTTACTTTAAATATCATGCATGCGCTTTCATTCGAACGCTGGTCGCTGACCCTGCTGCGCAAGAGGGCGCCATCTTAGGGGGCACCAAATCGTCGCTTGAATATGGGACAATTTTGAAAAACTTAACGAGGTACTAGCAAAACTGCACGTTTTGCTCTAGAAACACACTTTTTTAGAGATTTTCGGCGGGGGGCGGGGGCGTTACGCCACTGGGTATAACAATTTTGTAAAGGAATGTTGGGATCAGGGAGCATGTTCTTACAACGACACCTGCGCTTCTACCCTGTATGTGTTGAAGAATACAGATTACAGGGGTCATGATGTCATATTATGTCGTTGTTTAAATTGGTTTTATCACACATACAGCCATACTCTGCTATTAAATGTATAGCATACATTATCTTCCTGCAAGTGTAGTTCGAGATATAGGTTTATAATACATTTATTATTTATTCAACTGTGTATTTGTTAGTTATTTCTTTTACACATAGGTTTTAAACTAATTACAATGCTACACATTTATTACATTTATTGAGTATTATGTTATGGGATGGAAGTGCTTTAACCAGGTGTAGTCAGTATGGCTCTATAATATGAAGGACTTGTTTTAATTCTAACTGAAAAGCTTGAATCTAGAATGTTTTTGTATCATACAGGGTGGCCCAGAAGTAACTGCCCACACGCAACCCCTCAATAATTCACGTAATTCTTCTTAGAATTGCATAGAAATTTCTGAGAAAATCTTACAGATATGGGTCAAATATAGATTTCCTGAAAGTTTCGTCAAATTTAATAAATTACAGTGGGTGTGGCACGCCAAGCCCTCTTTTCCGCTATTGTCACCATAAAGTGAGAACGCTTTCAGCTAGGAACTACAAAGTTTCTAGACATATTTGGTATGATAATTTAAGTGCTTTCCCAAAATTTCAAGTTGGTTGTTCACAATCACCCAATCAGTAATCTCATCAGGAGCTATTTGCTAGCGAGCAACAATGAGCATCATTATGCGGAAACAAGCATTTTGGTGGATGACGATCTGATCAATTTGAGTGAATACTGAGCCCCAAGCGTTTTGGTCCGTCATTCCTGCCACTCAGCATTGCCTACTGTAAAGTAGAAATTTTTCTGAGACAATAGAGAAACTGACTTTGTCTCACTAAATTCAACCACTTTCCATAATAAAAATACTAACAAATAAAGTTTTAAAAATAATTATATACAACCCCTAAAGAATATTTCCTCAAGTTTACTTCTAGTTAACTAATTCGTGGTTTAAGCTCTTATTTTATTTATGGTTAAAGGAATGTAAAATAAAACTTATTGTTTCAAAACTTATTGTTTCAAAAAGATAGTGACGTTCCTTAAAACCGAAGAAATTCGCGTTATAGAAGTTTGGTTGCTGTCCTATAAGCAGTCTCCAACCAATCAAGACATTGATTGAGTGAAAATATCACTGATTCAATGAAACGAAATCTATGTTTGACCCATATTTATAATCTCTGAAATTTCTGTGCAATTCTAAGAAGAATTACGTGAGTTATTGAAAGATTAAAGGGTTGCATGGGTGCAGTTACTTCTGAGCCACCCTTTATATATAATACATTTGAGTTATAACTCAAATGTATAAATTATACATTTATAACCAGTGTGTATAAATACACACTGGTTACACACTGGTAGAGAAAAGGAAGGGATTAATAATAATAATTCATTGAGTGTACTGTTAGTGTTAAAATCAGCTGCTGGAATGCGGGGAGAGCGGTTGGTCTCAACAGTATTCGAACTGATATCCTACATTACATACGATTCTGTGTAGCAGTCATTATACCACATGACCCTTTTCTGCTTTTTTAAAGCCTAGCAGTAAAAAAAACAAACTCAACTGGTTTTTAGACAAGTATAAAGCATATAATATTGCCCAGCCCGATTGGTATGCTACATAGGTGTTGCTGAAGTGTTATTCCTCCGTTATTATATTGTTGCAAAACTGAAAATTGAATTGAATTTGATGTTTACTTAAATTATGTACAAACTTCTTTTTAATTCGAAGATACCCTTGACATTCATGATTGTTATTTAGAAAAAAAATAATAGCTAGGAAGATGTCGAGCCAAATGATAACCGTTTGTCAAATATGCTGGAAAATGACTAACCACAAGACGAATCCCACTCTAACTACTGCAGATAAAGTTAAAAAAGACAAAAATGATAAACAGGTCACTCTTCATTTTTTGTAATGTCATAATTTACACTAAAACTTGTGTCTTATCAATAATATTGTCATCACATTATACCTTTAAATATGTGTTCCACATTTCTTAATTAGTGCCCATTTTGTTTCTTATATTTTATTTCTCTATTAATCTGACACATGTTTTCAGAACTGTCAAGTGTGTTGTCAAATCTGGTCGCCAGTTCAGCTTGTAAAAAACAATGGTAAATGGATATATATCAGACCTCGGCCAGCTAATGTGCCCGGTGAATTTAAAATGTGTGATAAGAAGGGCAAGTGTATAAAGGGAGCCTCATGTACATTTGCTCACAGTAAAGAGGAATTAGAGAGTTGGAATCGGGTCAGTATCTTTACTAATAGTTCATCAAGATATGAAATTTAAAATAAGTTACTCTCCAGGCTCTAAATAGATAGTTCTAATTACTCGGCAGATAAATTCAAATAAAGAATCTTGATCGGTTGTGCTTATATTCTAATTCAATTTGCCTTACAAATTGTGGTGTATGTGAAACTTGATAACTTATAGCTCTTTTCTTTAAGTTAAAAATGTGAAATAACTCAGGAGCGTGAAGGACCTCCAATGCCTGACAAGCCCAGACCTGCTCCACTCATATCTGGTATGAAATATATTACAATATTTAGAGTCACTATTCTAAGTTATGTACAGATTGTTATTTGTTACAATAATTATTTGTAAAAAAGCGATTTATAAATCTTTATTCCACTGGGAAGTATGAATAGGGTTATCTTTTGGGGATGCTTTTTGAATTTATTTGAATTTTTTTAATAAAGTTGTAGTTAATAATTTATTAATTTTTGTGGTAAGATATTTATATTTTTCCATATAGTGATTTGATACTTTGTAGACATGCGTGATGATGTTATGTCATAATTTTTACTTTACTTTACTTTACTTGTAATGCATATGGCTATAGTCTATAGTCTATAACACTTCTTCTTTAATCTGAGGTTTGTTCTCAGTTCAACATTAGTAAGTTTAATATTCCCTCAGGTAATAGGTACATGATGTGCACGCATCATTCTAATGGTAAGCGCTGCTTATACGGCGCTGACTGCAAGTTTGCACACTCTCAAGAGGAACTTGACCTCTGGAATGCTACTATTGTCACCCGAAGTGTAAGTGTTTTATAACTAAATTAAGTTAATTTCGTGAAAATATTTTCCTCGATTTTGTGTACAATATTTAGGGGCCAGTCACGAAAGTTTGAGAGCTTTACAAAATAAATATTTTAATACTTTAATATCATTCTCTCTGGTTGCACAAGGGACGAAAAATTATGAGATTTTTAAACTAAATATTTTAATAACAATCTGTCTGATTGCAGGGTGACGGTACTCACAACACATCACGAGCTAATAGTTTTAGTTTAGACACTACCCCACCGGAGAACAAGCATTCTATCACTAGTCCTATTAGGCAGTACAGCGATGAAACTAAACGCATTATTCCTGGTCTGCACACTAATACTACTAAACCTTCTTCTAATAATAGGTAATTACAGTAATTTATTAATAGGTAATTACAGTAATTTATTAATAGGTAATTACATCTTTACAGTAATTTATTTTCCCTGGTTGTGCACCATGATTGAACAATAGCAAACTGAAAGTTCAATGGCAGCAGTTATTGTTTCTACTTGCCCTTGTTGGCTAAATTCAGATCATAGGAGACTGAGTTACACAATTTTAACAAACATTCCTGAGATGACGACACTGTTGCAGGGCTATTTTTTAAGGTTATTTTTCTCAGAAATAGAATTGTAAACTGTTGACCCAAAGGTTTCGATTCCAAGAAAAATAACCTTCCAAAATAGCCTTGCGCATTGCGTCACTGTACAGTTGATATTACTACAAATTCTCACGCTGCCTGAAGCTAGCATGTTGTCATTGGTTGATGACATATATTTGTTGGTTAGAATGATAGGTTCATAATCACCTCCTCACCGCTAGCAACCTCCTTACTCCATCATCTCTGGACTATCAACACATGCCTTTTTTAAAGCTTCTGTTACAACAAACTATCATTTCTATGTTTCAAGGTCCGACATCCAGCTTCTTAGTGGTCGGTCTGCCCCAAATTCTATAAATTTTAGTAATGTGAACATTGGACACATATCATTCAGTTAACTAGTGTATTTTAGTAATTTTAGCAATTAATTTTCTCTTTTATTAATTTATACAATATTATAATGATATGCCTTTAATTTCAGGACTCGGTTATCAAGTCTATCAAGTAACGCCAGTAACACCAGCGATCACATGACTAGCTCTAAAAATCTTCCAGTTAGCTTAACTCTTAGTCATAATAACAAGGTTAGTTTAAATAGTAACCATAGTAACGGTGTGTATTTATAATCTAAGATGCAGAGCAATGAATCCCAAACCGCATGAAAATGGGAGTCTTTTTTCCCAGTAATCTCAGAGTCAATCTACAACTGGTGTAAATATTTAAAACTTATGGTTACCATTTCTCAGGAGTCTACAATTACATCAGTATTCAGATGTGATACATGTGACTGTACTTGTACTTCTATGAAACAACTATTAGAACATAAAGCTGGAGCAAAGCATAAACAGATTGCCAGGTAAATCTACTTGTAACCTTGCCACGTGACCAGTCAATATCATGAACTGAAAGAGAAGTATTCCGTCACGTGATCCGAGGCTTCACTGCTTGTGTTGTGAAGATTGTCAGATGGTATACACTACCTTATAACCTTAATGCCACGTACATAATGTCTTACAATGTACGGTACATTATAAGACTCTTTATTCTTTATACAAAGAGGCGGTTAAAAGTGTGGCTCAATAGATGGGTTAAAACTTATAAGTGAAATAATTATGAGGGTTCTCAACATTGTGGTTTTTCCCTTTAACTTATTCCTGCACTGTGACTTGTTATTTCAGATGTAATAGTTTTCCTGATGAGCCCACTATACGACCCCGACCTATACTCAACTCTAGGGGTATTCAGGAATATTCTATTTGCAAGTAAGTCATAAGTCGGATGTTATATTATATTTTCAATCGTTCTGTTAATCTTCACACAAGTTGGAATGGTGGAATGTGGCAGTCAAATCAATTTATACCTATCATCTCTTGTAAACATGCGGACTTATCAGTTCACTCAAATAAGTCACATTTAAGTACCTGTTGTCATAGTAGGTAGTTACTGTAGATACCTACTACGACAATACAAGAAAAACACAGAAACTTGTTATCTTATTATAGCTAATTAATTAATTAATACGCAGGTCAATACAAGAAAAACACAGAAACTTGTTATTTTATTGTAGCTAATTAATTAATTAATACGCAGGTCAGTTAACGAATCTGGTAGGTGTAAGTTTGGAACAGGTTGTCCTGAAGCTCACAGCTATGAAGAACTTGAAGCTTGGAACAGTCAACTTAACAATAGCATACAGGTGAGATATAATATGGTGATAGTAGTACCCTTATTATACGTGTAGTGGGGAGGCGGTACCCTTATTATACGTGTACGTGTAGTGGGGAGGCGGTACCTTTATTATTATATGTGTAGTGGGGAGGCGGTACCCTTATTATATGTGTAGTGGGGAGGCGGTACCCTTATTATATATGTAGTGGGGAGGCGGTACCTTTATTATTATATGTGTAGTGGGGAGGCGGTACCTTTATTATTATATGTGTAGTGGGGAGGCGGTACCCTTATTATACGTGTAGTGGGGAGGCGGTACCCTTATTATACGTGTAGTGGGGAGGCGGTACCCTTATTATACGTGTAGTGGGGAGGCGGTACCCTTATTATACGTGTAGTGGGGAGGCGGTACCTTTATTATTATATGTGTAGTGGGGAGGCGGTACCCTTATTATATGTGTAGTGGGGAGGCGGTACCCTTATTATACGTGTAGTGGGGAGGCGGTACCTTTATTATTATATGTGTAGTGGGGAGGCGGTACCCTTATTATACGTGTAGTGGGGAGGCGGTACCCTTATTATACGTGTAGTGGGGAGGCGGTACCCTTATTATACGTGTAGTGGGGAGGCGGTACCTTTATTATTATATGTGTAGTGGGGAGGCGGTACCCTTATTATACGTGTAGTGGGGAGGCGGTATCCCTATTATATGTGTAGTGGGTAGGCGGTACCCTTATTATATGTGTAGTGGGGAGGCGGTACCCTTATTATACGTGTAGTGGGGAGGCGGTACCCTTATTATACGTGTAGTGGGGAGGCGGTATCCTTATTATACGTGTAGTGGGGAGGCGGTATCCTTATTATACGTGTAGTGGGGAGGCGGTACCCTTATTATACGTGTAGTGGGGAGGCGGTACCCTTATTATATGTGTAGTGGGGAGGCGGTACCCTTATTATACGTGTAGTGGGGAGGCGGTATCCTTATTATACGTGTAGTGGGGAGGCGGTATCCTTATTATATGTGTAGTGGGGAGGCGGTACCCTTATTATATGTGTAGTGGGGAGGCGGTACCCTTATTATACGTGTAGTGGGGAGGCGGTACCCTTATTATACGTGTAGTGGGGAGGCGGTACCCTTATTAATTATTATACGTGTAGTGGGGAGGTGGTACCCTTATTATACGTGTAGTGGGGAGGCGGTACCCTTATTATACGTGTAGTGGGGAGGCGGTACCCTTATTATACGTGTAGTGGGGAGGCGGTACCCTTATTAATTATTATACGTGTAGTGGGGAGGTGGTACCCTTATTATACGTGTAGTGGGGAGGCAGTACCCTTATTAAACGTGTAGTGGGGAGGCGGTACCCTTATTATACGTGTAGTGGGGAGGCAGTACCCTTATTAAACGTGTAGTGGGGAGGCGGTACCCTTATTATACGTGTAGTGGGGAGGCGGTACCCTTATTATACGTGTAGTGGGGAGGCGGTACCCTTATTATACGTGTAGTGGGGAGGCGGAACCCTTATTATACGTGTAGTGGGGAGGCGGTACCCTTATTATACGTGTAGTGGGGAGGCGGTACCCTTATTACTAGCTGTGTGGTAACCCGAATCTAACACACCACTGACCACTTTGATGTGCTTATGAGTTGCACAATGTGACTAACTCTAATATACACAATAAAGTAGCTGGAGACGCTGAGGTTAATGTTGGTAATTGTATTTAATATCACAGTGGGCCCTTACTGTGATACAGTATAATAATAGTAGTTAGCAATAATTATAATAATTTGCATGTATACTTGAAAGTTATTGCTTGTTTTATTTTCCAGGCTTTAATTCCTTCCAAAGAAGACGTAATACCGTTCTTAGAAAAGATCAGGCGAGAATTAGACAGCACAGAATTAACAATTAGTGATGTGAGTATTTCTACTTATTTTTAGCTAATGTATTGGTTTATCTGAACGATTGGTACATAGTGTTCAAATTTAATGAAATATTCCTATTTACTTGAACTAAGTCTCCGCTATGTTTTCAGTTACTGCAACCTAAGTTTGGTATATCTATAGAAGAAGTATCAGGGACCAGATTAGAAATTAACCACACTGGTGCTAGTAATCTCAAGTGGATATTTCGTACTACCGTCAAGGTTTGTTGCGGGTCTTTGTAACTGTTCTTATTATTCATTATTTAATTTTATCATTTTTATCTAAGTGTGATCAGCTATACTCGGTTTTATTTGCTACTCTACTCTATTTTAGTTTTTATTTGTTACTCTTGAGCTTTTGTCTATAAAAATAGAAATAGACACAAAATGTGGCATTTTAAGTGTTACATAACACCGCATTATTTTTGATACACCGCATTATTTTTAAATCGGTATATAACACCGCATCTTCTGATATAGATCTTTTTTTAACACAGCCTATTTTCAAGATTCTTGATTTGAATAATTAGTATAATTAGTAATAATTACACACAACTTATAATATCTCAGGAGAGTTGTCAGCTATTAGGAATGATAATGTTAGGAGAACAATACCCCCAGTTCACCTTCACTGCTCTAACTATATCCACTGCTACTGTACATCCAACTACTACTCCCTACGCTATAGAGGCTAAACATTCACTGTATCCTGGCGACAGTTTTACTACACAGGTACAATATGGTTACCGTGGTGACACTACCTTATAAGGTTATGTCACTGTGGTAACACTGCTATTTAAGGTTATGTCGCCATCGTAACACTACCTTATAAGGCTATGTTTCCATGGCAACACTACCAGATAAGGTTATGTTACCATAGAAACACTGCCATATATATAATATATCCTGGCAAATGTTTCGATAAACATGTATAAAAACAGAATGTTACTAATTTATTCTTTCCTTTTAAGACAAGCCATGAAATATTAGCATTGTTAAACACAGCACTATAAGTTAATATTAATATTAGATCATTCCTAATTCCATATTTTGACAGGTGGAGTTCAAACAACAAACCGGATGCTTCCCTCAAGTTGTAGTGTTCAAATTTAACGGTTTCTTTATGGGAACCCTGTTAAAAGTAACAAGTATGTCTGAAGAGAGTTTCGAGTTACAGAACTTACATCGACACGTGACAGAAACACAGTAAGTTGTGGTGTTCAGGGGGGGGGGATTTAGATAAGCAGGCTTACAAGGGGAAATGTCGCCGACTTATGCTTTTGAACAGATTAGCTGACCACGAAATAAAGGGTTTGTTCAAAACTTTAATATCAAAGTTTATAATTAGCACTCTAGTAACCACTATCTCAGGTCTTCAGGCGCAGTAGCATCTAACTGGGACACAGTAGTGCAAGTTATATCTCTTGACGGAGCTGACTTGAAGGAGCGAGACCAGTGTCCTGATGAGTACCCACTTAGTCCTGACTGTATCAGAGTGGAGAACCTCTCTCAAAACCTTACTATGGTACAGTCTCATATTATGTTATAGGAGTACCTTGCTATTTGAACATGACGTGCACCATATCTCGCACGTGCAAACTTGCGTGACTGCGGACTGTATCATCACTGAGTAACATGCTCTACACATTTTCTTATCGTGTACGTTTGTACATTTATGTTCTAATGCACATTTTCTTGTGTACTTGCTGTGAATAGAACACAAACTCCACTCAATCTTACCTTAATTAATGCATTTTCTCCTATATAATATATGTCAGATACACGTATACACTTATACGATCCTATCTACAACGTATAACTCTAAATGCACTTTATCTATCATTGTAACTCAAGTAAGAGTACTAGTCATTCTTCTCAATGTAGCCTCCTCGCTACAGTTTTAACTAGTCTACTACTACTATTACTACTAATATATATACTACTAATATATATATATATTATATATATATTACTACTACTATTACTACTAACTAGTCAGACTAGCTTACAGAGGGTTACATTGAGGATAGACTCTGCTAAACTAGATGTATAGTCTATACTAAGATACTAGTACACCCTTCCCTTTTATTATATCTGGCGTATACAGTTTATTGTTAACAACCGTTTACGAAGACTATATGCTACACTGTTAGAATGGTTAATATGTTTAGTTAACTTAGTACACTAAGTTAACTTAATATACTTAATAATGTACATTCAATGAATAACAAACAAGATAGTTAGTCTCAACCAGAGTTACAGTTACTAACTACCCTGCCCTCATCAAATACCTTTTACTTAAGTCACAGCTTATCATAAACAAGAGTGATAGTTTACATTATTTATTGTTTAGTTTGTGATGTGCTCGCACCATACCCACTACACAATACAATGTATAATGTGTATAGTGTGTTAAAGAATTCAATATAAACTAAAAAATGTACAGTTTATAATGTGCATACTGCACAGTGTGTTAGGATTCGCAATCTAAACTAAATACTCTATAGTGTTTACAGTGTACATTATGCTATAGACACTATAAATTAAACGATGTATTGTGTACATGTGTACAGTGTATTGTGTTTTATATCACGCAAGATAAACTAAACAGTGTACAATGTACAGTGTATAGTGTGTTACAGTACGCAATATAGAAGAACGGAGAGATGTTACCTCATAGGATCCTAACAGTACAATATACAGTGTTTATTGTATACACTGACAAACCTACATTCGTCCTATTATATTATAGTGGAATGCCTACAATCAAATACAGGTTGGCTCTCGTTTTAACAAGCTTCTTGGAATGTTTATTACTATTGCATAATATGTTCGAGTTATGCTATATGCTCTCTCCTTAAAACGTACCGGCCCAAGAATGGTATTTTAGCTTTACAGCTAGTATTTCGTGCTAGTAAAAACGTATAGCTAGAGAGCTGGAAACGGGTGGAGAATGTACTCAACAGCCATATACAATATAATGTACACTGTACAGACTACAGGCATATAATGTAGCCAAATGATGTGCTCTCAAATTGAATGTTTGAAAAGTGACTTTAGTTTTGTAGTGTGAGTAACTGAATAAACTATTGCCTACATATTATATGTATATACATTATATGTATATACATGTATATATACATATTATTGTGTACCGCATGGCATGATTTTAAGATTACACTCAGTGTATCATTTTGTTAAATTAGTAATTAAGCAAATATTATTGACATGTTGACTATTTAATAACATTACCCCCTTTCAGTTGACGTATAAAATGCAGTTACACACACTTTTATATATTGAGGAAATGGAGCGGCAGAAAGTTCTAGCAACCTCTCACCTTCCGAATATGGCATGTGAAGTTACTCCTGGATACCGGGTAAGCGTCTGTCTGTCTGTCTGTCTGTCTGTCTGTCTGTCTGTCTGTCTGTCTGTCTGTCTGTCTGTCTGTCTGTCTGTATGTCTGTATGTCTGTCTGTCTGTCTGTCTGTCTGTCTGTCTGTCTGTCTGTCTGTCTGTCTGTCTGTCTGTCTGTCTGTCTGTCTGTCTGTCCGTCCGTCCGTCCGTCTGTCTGTCTGTCTGTCTGTCTGTCTGTCTGTCTGTCTGTCTGTCTGTCTGTCTGTCTGTCTGTCTGTCTGCCTGCCTGTCTGTCTGTCTGTCTGTCTGTCTGTCTGTCTGTCTGTCTGTCTGTCTGTATGTCTGTCTGTCTGTCTGTCTGTCTGTCTGTCTGTCTTTCTGTCTGTCTGTCTGTCTGTCTGTCTGTCTGTCTGTCTGTCTGTCTGTCTGTCTGTCTGTCTGTCTGTGACTCTGTCTGTCTGTCTGTCTGTCTGTATTTCTGTATTTCTGTATTTCTGTCCAAACATTTTTTATAATTTTCTTTCTTTCTTCACTTCCTATAACTTTCTGCTTAGCCACCTTCATATTGAAAACGTAGCTTTTTATCATTTATTAATTTAAGCATGTAATAATTACAAATAATAAAACAAATTCTAAAGAATTGTGCTCACACAGTCAATGGCCTTTCGATAACTTTTAAAACTAAGACAATGATTACTTTTGAATGCATTAAAATCAATGCATTGGCACTCCAAACATCTTCTCGCTCACAATCACCATCAATCAAATTCAAAATTATGCAATCAATCACTATACACCCACGATCATATGATCAAAACACAAAACTTTGTAATATACTTTTTCTGTTTGAGATTTGAATAACGTTACTGTAATGTTTCAAATTATATTTTAAATGTTTTTAAAAAAATGTAAACATTGAGCATTACTGTAGTTTTGTTTACCAAATATATACGAGTTAAGCATGTTAGAAGTTTGTTGACTTATATTAGCTTGATAACCAGTAATTGGTTTACTTGTATTACCCGCATGTATGTGTACAAGTATGTACGTTATTAGTACAAGTGAACAGGTATTTGTGTTCTGAGAATAATTCTATTCAGATACATTGCAGTTTCGGTGTAATGTAATACACATACAGTACAAATACAATACAGTGGCACGTATGATAAAGTCATTTCCTTAATTCTGCACAATAATGCAATATGTATGAAATTTGAGCTCTGATTGGAAAGTATATTTCTGCAACATAATAAAGGATCGTGTAAGAGGATGTTACATTTCATTTACACACGTGTATTTTCTGTAACTCAGGGCTATTTCAGGACGAATACATGTATCACTGTGCCCCGCAAGGTTTCGGATACCTAACATTCCTTCTAGACGATCTCGCAGATAATTCTCCCCAACTCATCATGTGAGAAACAATTTAACTTGCATTAAGTAATTAAGTAATTAAGTAATTAGTTAATTAAGCATTTAAATGGAATGTGCAAACTTTAGAAGTATGGACTATTAACAACTTCTCAACATTTGACTGGAATGACGATTGTAACATTTACCATTCCATTGCAGGCGTAACAAAATATGCGAGGTGAAAGCTGCCAATAGTAATGTGGCATACCAAGGAATATTGGAGATGATAGGCCGTGAGAGTCTGGTGGTCAGAGTTAAGGACGAGTGTGCTAAATTATGGTGAGTTTGTGTGAAATGTAATGTAGTCACTTCTTCGCCGTTGTACAGTATTATATATACTAAATTTACTTAATTTCACCCACAAGTGATGGTTTCTTTTCGAGTTCACCATTAAATTTCCAACTATTTTATGTTCCTAGATCGTCTGGTTCTATTTATGATTGACTACGTCATGTTTGTTTGTTTGTTTATTCCCGTCCCCAATCTCGTGACGGGAAATGATCCAACTCAAGGTTTGAGTGTAAATACGGTTTGTACCTGCAAAGGTATTTATTAAGCATTTAGAGTTCTGTAAAACTGCAGTTATAATTGTCCTGAACCAATTGTTGGATACTACAAACAACCACGCAAGTGATGAGGTGTTAAAGCAGAAGATAAACGGCCAGTAGTATAATAATCAATATTTTATAATTAAGTGGTACAGGAGTTCAGTGAGGTAAATGGGAATTCAAAAGATATTACGCTTGAGCAACGATAATTGTGGTGCGAAGTGGTGAGTCACTTGATTGACCACATTGCACTCACTTGATCCCTTGACAGTCCAATTAAAAACTTCCAACACCCTGGAAGCACCATTTCAATGGGGTCTACATTTTTACTAAGTGGGAACGCGCGAGACAAGATCTCTGGTGCAGATGGTGCATTAATGGAGTGAGGGAACGCGCGCATAGGAATTAGAGCCGCGCGTAAACAAACCCTATCAGGATCAAATTTGCAAAGCTGGAGAAACTCCAGTCACCTAAACCTGCTAAACCAGGGGTTAACTGTGTGAACAGGTTAACGAATTAACTCACAATTTCAGCAAGAAGGACAAAGCAAGCGTGAGGTTTACCCAAAAACGGAAAGATTTCAAGTACATGCACTACGCCATAGACCACGTCAGTCTGAACTTGATGTTTCCGGATTACAGTCCCGATCGAAGTTCAAAACCAGAGGAACTGGCTATGTTGTTGGATAAAACTAATCTTAACAAGGCCCAAAGAGGAGTTATAGAGGATATATTAGATCCCTTCACATCACATGTAAGTACCCATTTCTACCCTTTCTTTTTCGAACTGCCAGCCAAAGTAAAGGTCAGTTCTGCACATTCTTCTATCATTTTTTAAAAATCGAATTAAAATTCCAAACATTGATGATACCTTAATCTTGATACATCTTATTTAAACACATCCCTCCCTCAAGATTCCCACTCTGGTATGTGGACCGTTTGGTACGGGTAAAACTAGCACTTTAGTTGAAGCAGTGTCCATATTACTTCAAGTGAACACCATGTCTAGGATACTAGTGTGTACTCACAGTAACAGTGCTGCTGACATCTACATTGAGAGGCTTGATAAGAAGTTTGGTTCAGGTTGGTACTCAAAATCAAATTTTACCAAACGTGACGTGTGATAAACATAATATTATATAACAGATCATATTTGGAAGAGGTTATTATGTTACGCATTAGAGTATATATCATGAATCTCGGACATAAATTCAGTAAATATGACTTAATAATCGTCGCTCGGTAAAGATATTTAACAGAACTACTCTTCCTCAGAATTCCTACGAGGCAAAGTACTCCGTCACTTTTACCACGAGAGAAAACAAACCACCATCAAACCACTGCTCCTTAAATACACGTACATAGTAACTACTAACTACGGAGGGAAGTTTGAGCTTCCTCCACTGCCCCAACTAAAGGAACTATCCGTGATAGTCACTACCATAGAACAGTCTGGAGATTTAGCTTACTATCCTGGACTTGAACCTGGACATTTTACTCATATATTCATTGACGAGGCAGCTCAGGTAAGATTTATTTGGTTGTATTTTTTGATATTTATCAACTGAACTCTACCACGTGTACACTCCGTTTTTTGAAAATATGGTTAATTTTGGTGAAGGCTTCAGCATCTTTAGTTTTTAACATTTTGAAGGCTTTATCATCTTTAATTCATCGCAACCCCGTCTTTAATTTTCTAAATGTAAGAATCCTACATTTACATTACATTGGTAACAACTCTCTTACCAATTTGACAAACATGAGAACATGAAACTGCAACGAGGCATAAAAGAGTGCATCCGATCTATTTTAAGACCTTTTGTGGCGTCTTTAATTTTCCAATTTTGAAGCCTTGCCGTCTTTAATTTTTTCATTTGAATGCTTCATCTTATATCGTCTTTATAAAAGGCATCTTTATAAAATAAATGGAGTATATTTAGTAGAGCTACAGGGTGGGCCAAAAGTCAGTACCCATACGTTGGCCTTAATAGCTCCGCCGTGTTTTATATTTGAGAGCTGTTGCTTTCAAGGGCTGCATATGTGGCCAATTGCGGTCATTTTGCACCCTATGGAAGATCTAAGACCTTCGGAAGCGGAATAACCAATATTAGGGGTGGGTTATGGGTTCTGGTAGAAAAAATTACTATAAAATTTTTTGCCCAAAAGTTTCAGCTGGACGGTTTTTTGTGGTGGTTCCGGGGACTACTGGACAACAACATTACAAGTAGACAAACATTTGTTACGAATTTGTCACAGAAAAATAACTCTTGCCCTAACTAAAAATGTATTCCAATGAAATCGCATATTTGGAAAGAATTAGTTACGGTAACAAGACATCGGTCGACAGCGACTATTGTCCGACTAAGTTATCTGAAAAAGACTTTGTCACGAATTGTGTTAAAATTTCATACGACAACTTTCCAATTAGAGGACATGTTCTGAAATGTTACTAGTCTACTTTGTTTACGTAACAATTTCCAATTTGATATATGATCTGAGTGAATCGACAATAGTTTATTTTCATTTGAGTCGATATATTGGACGAATGTTATTATATAAATCAGTTTCTGGTTTTGGTCCTTCGAGCATTGCTTGCGTCGAGGGTAAAAAATGAGTTGGTTGCGGTTTTGGATTGCGATAACTTGTTTCCCCATACCGCTCTCTTTATTTGCAACTGTAGGCTGTGATGTGATCGACAGCCCTGTTACGCTTGTTAGTGTACGGCTAGCACGATCTCCTTTTCTTCCCATGTCCTCAAAATTGTCAACACGTATCGATGGATCGGATCTCAATGGATCAAATCAGGATTAGGACAGTGGAGCCATGGGAGACCTTGGTTCGAAAATGATACGGCCCCCAAGAGGGGTCAGATCAACCTCAATAATTAGGGACTTTATAATTAGTGATGTGATTCCTGATTCATGGATTGAATCTTTAAGTGACACATAAATGGGGCTAGATTGGGGTAGAGTTCACATGTAAATTCATGTTAAATCATAGCTGTACATTAAGAAGTAAAATGATTGACTGCTCGACATCGAAGACAAATAGGGACGGGGAGCTCTTGCTTAAGGGGGGTTTCGTTAAGGGATGTGAGAGTACTTGCCAAAGGCATGTAAGGGGAGTGGAGCGATCAAGTGTTTTAGGTATTTATACTGGTAAGATAGAAGGTCGCTTCTATCAACAGTCATGCCTCCTTTCTAAGGTCTAAATGTTTCAGAGGATCATCAGGATGTCATACAAGTGCTTGATTCTGACAGATATATCATACACCAGGAAGAAATTGATGACAGCGTCTTCTTCTCTGCTGGTCGTTGCCAGGAGAACAAACTCTTAATGTCTGCCCACTGTTACCTCACGCTCTCACAGACCACCAACTATTTCCATTGGGACGTAAACCAGATTCGGCTACCCCACTGAGGAATCGAACTCCTTACAACGTCATGAGGAAGGCTGCAGAACAACATCCTGTTCGGCGTATCAGAACTGATATCTGATGTCCTTCCTGTGCCTTCATCAGAAGTAACCAGACGCTATCTAGTCGAAGACTTCTCTTGAATTCTTCTTCCTCCCAGCTGCACATCTACAAGAAGAGACGAAACAATTTATCTCTTTTGTATGGGAAGAATGACATGAGATGAGAGTAGATATTTCCCCAAAGTACACCATAACATATCACCGAGGATATGTGGGTGTTCTGGAATCATTTCGCCAGTATTTTTCGGATCCAGAGCTCCCTCGGAGAGGTTTTTAAAGAGGTTTCAAAGAGGTTCATTACGAAGAATCGCCAAAGCCCTCTGTTCAAGATTATTTTCTGCTATTAAGGAACAAAGGTTGTTACAGATTTTCATCTGGATCGGCTTGCTGTTGAAAGATCTTCCAAAAAGAAGAGGATTTCCAGCAGTCTCTGTAAACCTTTCTTCTACACGGCATACCAACAAAGATTGAGTAATTGTTTCGCTGTTGCGAAAATACTTTAGTATTATATTGAGTAATTTGTTGTATTGAAGGTATTATATCGATTAATCGATTTAAACATTTTATTAACATTTTATAACCTACCAATATTGTCTCAATTTCAAAACATGTTCACTCTTAATTTATGCTTCTATGTAGAGTTGTCATATTGTAATCTCCCCAATCTAGGCCCATTACAGCTCAATATATTCAATCCTTGATCAATTCAATATAGATACGAGACAAAGTTAAGTTGCAGGTTATACTTGATGACGTATATGGTAGTCAGTTTATCCTTCTGAAACCCAAGGTCTGGCAGCGTGGGTGCAACGTCACGAGATTACCGTGAGACTTGTGGAAATACGAATGTGACCGAAATTACAATTGTGATCCGAAGTCCGGACAGATGTCGCCAAAAAATTACTTCTGTCGAAAACCGCTAATTCGGCTGTCGGATAGGATCATTAGCTACTAAATTATGCATGAAAGAAAAGAATTAATCCTGCTAATACAGTGACTATTACCATATAAGGTTACTTTATGAAAAAATATACGGAATCCTATTCGTATTTCACAAGCTCCCGGGAATGGGGGGGGGGGTTGCTGGAGACGAAGAAGTTAAATACGGGAACAAAAATCGAGCTGTTACGTGCAAGGTTGAGTTACTTATAGCTGTTATTACTTCGGTAATAGTAATACTGGAATAAAAAATAGCTTTTTACTTTTTGAAATGCCGTTTCCTTAGTTAGTTTAAATAATTCTATCTGGTTTGGTTCATTGGTCCCTTATCAATAGTGATTCTAACCCATGTCAAAAAAAGTTGCTCAATACGTTGGTGCGAGTTGAATAAATCAATTTTCCATGATGATAATTTCATTTTCCAGTTTTACCAGTAAGTACGACATGTAAGTTTGACAAGTAAATACTCGGCTTTAGCTCGATAAGTCGAAGGGGAATATCAAAATCCCAGGAACGTTTCTCGCATTAGATGCTAAAAACCAGTCCACCCACATGTCGGCAGTATCTAGATTGCCCGACCCTGTCGCGGACTACGGTCCACGGACCAATGTCCACGAACAACTGTCCACGAACACCTGTTACCGATCATGTTATAAAATGCATAATAACAGTTATACCCTGAACAAGCAAAGGTGTTGTTTCTGGGAATAGTGATTGGTTTCCAGATAAATATGACCGCCTAAGGTTATGAAATGATGGTATGAATGGTATCTTGGATGGCAATTAGTTCGATGCATAATCAATACTTGATTAGATTCAAATGTGGTCCCTTGGTTATAAATGAGTTACGAATAATATTGATTGTAGGTCAGTATAATTCCTGACATGGTTATTTCTGTCTAATGACGAAAGTTTAATGGACACACGGCCTCCTTAGTGAAGCTCGAGACTTCCTATCCAGAAAAACCTCTAAAGAGCTCCATGTTGTGTGGGTGTAACGCATCTATGTCCTGGTTCCCTGCTCGTAGGTTGATTAATCGTTTCAACAAGCTTGAACCCACCGACTTTTTTGAATTCGCGTGAGATGATGTGAACCCTGCTGGATTCAAGGGGATACTGTTATTAGCGTATATATGATTGTATAATGTTGTTTCGTGGACAGTTGTCCGCGGACAGGGTCGGGCTTAATATGATACTGCCACATTGTTTATACTTAATTAATTTCAATGTTCGCACAAGTTGAGTCTTGCTTTTTCCGATTAGTTGCAGCCAAATAGTACAGCAGTCGCAATTTAACTTTGATTCTTCTTACAGCAGGCAACTTACAAGGATCTGTGATTATTTCCGGTAGTAATCGTCTTCCGCCCGAGGTTATAAGTACATATATTTCGACTCGCGAGAGCGTACAACAGGTTTTGACTAAGAATATCAAACAACTGAAGCTCTGTAACTTTAAAACTTTGCTTACCCCACTCTAATGTGATGTTGCTTGGACAATTTTTTGCCAAAGATGAGCCTTAGGCTACCACAGAAGCTGAGATTATCTTGTAATAAATAGTACAGAGTTTGGTCGCGAGAGCGTTAAAAATAGGTTTTGGACCTAATTACTCGAAAAACCTGAAGTCTGTGACTTTAAAACTATGCTTCACCCAATCATGGTGATGATTTGTCATTTTCATACCTAGGTTTGATATCCTTTCTCCAATAACAAAGTGGAGATATGTGGGTTAGAAATCACGAATGCGTCACAAAGGGCGTGGTCAATTTGAGCAAGACTGCCCATATTCAGAAAGTCTTACCAAAGCCAAATATTTGTTTCCTCGGGGCGGAAAGAGGGTCACCGGAATTTATCAGAACTTGTCTAGTTGGCTGCTGTAAGAAAGAATTAAGGTAAATTGTGACACCTGCTGTAGACTATTGACTGCAACTAATGGAAATAGTGTAGTGGCCGATTAGTAGCCACCTTTGTTGGCTACTAGCCGATTTGCTGCCGGTTAGTAGCGTCTAGTGAACTTTTCAAGTGCCGGCTAGTGCTGCTAGAATGACGGTTTGGGACCTCGAGAATAGTAGGTCTGCTTAGAGACAAGTATTAGCCGGCTAGTGACCGACCTTGTATCACGTTATGGTTACTAGCGGCTAGTAGCCTGTGAGTAATCGGCTTAGTGACCACTTATTAAGTGCGGTGGTAGCTGGTTTCATTGTAAAATATCTTTTAAGTGCCGTACTGTGGCCAGATTGACTATAGAGTACCGTATAGAGGCACGTATTATAGTGGGCGCATGTATTGGGCAAACCTAATAGCCATTTCCCCATATGGGAGCATATCTTCTTAAATTGGTTCTTGGGTTGCTTCATAGATCCTATATCGGGTCATCAGATGGCTGACCACCGTGTCGCCGATGTTGTTGCCAGAGAACGGGAATTGAATTAGTTATTGATGGTACTGCGCAGACGACAGAAAAAAGACATGCAACTTCGCGGCCAAGGGTGGTCGCCGCGTTCTGTTGACGATAGTGGTTCTAATGGAAGAACCCAAGTAACCCAAGTTAAGTAGATATGCTCCCTTATGGGAAAATGGGCGATTTAGGTTTGGCCCTATACTATGCGGTCCACTATTTATACGCCTCTATACGGCCTCTATCATGTCTATTTGGCACTGTACGGGCACTTAAAAGATTTTTTACATGAAACCAGCTACCAACCGGCATTAATAAGTATGGTCACCGAGCACGATTTCTAACAGGTTAGCCGCTGGCTAGTTGACCATAAAAGTGGCTTCTAGGCGGTACTAGCCGGCTATTAGCTTGTCTCTAATGCGAGAACCATACTTCTCGAGGGTCCAAAACGGCTTCCTTGAAGGATACTTGCCGGCAACTTGAAACAGTGGTCACTAGACGGCTACTAACCGGATGCTAATCAGGTAGTAGCCACAAACGTGGCTACTAATCGAGCCACGACTAGTATTTTCCAATTAGTTGCAGTTAAAATAGTCACAGCAGGTCACATTTAACTATAATTTTTCTTACTGCATAGGCACTAGACTATGTTCGGAGAATCATTCCGGTAGTACACCGTACTTCCGCCCGAGAAAATTTGGCTTTGTAGCTTTTTGAATTATGGGGCAGTTTGCTCCAAATTGACCACGCCTTTTGACGCTTTCGTGATTTCTAACCCACATTTCTCCACTTTGATTGAGGATAGGATATCAATTTGGGTATTGAAAATGATCAGAATCATCAATTTTAGTCGGGTTAGAGATAGTTTTAAAGGTCTACAGACTTCAGGTTGTTGGGTATTTAGGTCCAACCTATTTTTACCTCTCGCGAGCAAAATTTATGTATTATTACAAGATATATCAGTTCTTATGGGGAGCTAAGGGCTAATCTTGGGATAATAAATGGTTCAGCATCATCACATTAAGGGGGTAGAGCTAGTTTTAAAAGTCTACAGAATTCAGGTTGTGAGTTTTAGGTAAAAACTATTTGTACGTCTCGCCGGAGTCGAAATTTATGTACTTATTACCTGGGGCGGAAGACGTTTCTACGGATTATTCTCAGATCCTTGTTAAGTTGCTGCTGTATAGGAAAGTAAATCAAACGGTAAAATTGAGACCTGCTGTTATATTTGTTTTTATTTTGCTGCAAATAATCGGAAAATAGCAAGACAACTTCTTTTGGAACTTTGAAGTGAAATTAATTAAGTATGAAACATGTGCAGTATCTAGATAGCCGACCCCTTGTCGCGGACAACTGTCCACGAACAAACTGTATACCAGATCTTATTACTGACATAATAACTGTATCATGAATCAAGCAGGTTCACATATCGCACGGTTTTTCATCAGCCGGTGGTGTCAAGGCTTATGAAACGATTAAGCAACCTTACGAGCAGGAACCGGGAATAGATGCGTTACACCAGGAGACAGGACTTGGTGCTCTTTTGGAGGTTTTTCTGGAATAGGAAGTCTCGAGCATTCTCGAAGGAGGCGTGGGTCTCAATTAATTTCGTCCATTAGTACAGAAGGAGTACCATGTCAAGGAATTAGACTACGTATAATCATATTATTGTAATCATTTTATTTCCACGGACCACATTTGAATCGTAATCAATAGTTTGATTATAGCTAGTCGTTAACTAATTGCATCTAGATACCATACATACCGCACAAATTTTCATAACATTTGCGGTATATGATCTGGTAACAAATCATAACTTTTCTCAAACT